TTAATTCATTTTTTTTTTGTCTGATATAAATTTATATTTTAGTATATTTATAGCTATTAAAATTTTTTTAGCTAGTAATATTTTATATAGAAATTCTTTAAATTTCATTTACCCTATTTTTATTAGTTCAAAAATTCAGTTTTTTTTTTTAGAAAAAAATTCACATTTTATGTATAACAAAATACATAAATATATGTACATACACACATATGTGAAATGTAATAAATTATACATTTTTAGAATAACAAATAAAAATGCTATTTTTACGACGACAACTTATACAATTTGTGACGTCATTCTATTTTCCATTGACCTACTTAATTAGTTTTATTTAAATATTTTTCTTAAAATATAATATTCACTTTTAAAATTAACCATTTTTCTTTTTCAATGTCCTCTCCCTCTTGTTCTTCTTTTGTTTTTTTTTTTTTTGTTTCTAATAATTGATTGAAATGAGAAGTATGTACCTATGTGTGTAAGTATAATGTATAAATTTTTTAAGTAGATTTTTTTTTTCCGATAATAGAACACCTGCATTTCATTTTTAATTTTAATCTTATAACCATCATTAATTTTATCTGTATACGTATGTGTGCGAATGTAGATCGCTGTATAAGCAAACAGTAAATTATTCACAATTTACAAACCATGAAAATTTTTGAATATTTTTTTGTTAAAGAACAACATGTGCATTGGTATAATTAACTTTTGAAAAAAAAAAAAAAATAATGTTTTAAAAATATTTAACAGGGAAATAAAATATTTTATTATTTTACAATTTTAATAAAATTGAATTGAAAAAATGTACATACTCGTATAATAAATTTTTGTTGGAATTTATTTTAATAGGTTCTAATTTTTAGCAAATTTTTCATTTAATTACTTTTATACTAAAATAAAATGAACTTTTATATAAATACATAAGTAAGTAGATATGTATATATAAACAAAATTATTCGAATGGAATGTTTAGATATAATGAAATTAAGGGGTGTGATATTAAAATAACTGTTCCCTTTTCCTTATAATCTTCTATATTATCAATAAATAGGCACTTACCTAACATTTATATAAATATTTTAAGTATGAAATTGCTATTTTCTAAAAATAAGTGTAAAAAATGTAATCATCTTGCTTTTGATTACTTATATTTATTTATAATTGTGAATAAATTGTGTTATAAGTGAATAATTGTGAATAAATGAGTAGGAAAAATATCATCATCAAAAATCTGCTTCTACTAAAAGTGATTGTAGTTTATTAATTAAAATTTTAAATAAATTACTATTATACAAGTATCAATTAAACACCAATACGTGTAAGTATTAGAATTAATATTTTATTGAAGTTAAGTACTTACTTTTATAAAATATACTGTAAAATTGTAACTGGAGTTGACAATTTCCACTTTTCTTAGAAAAATACTACAATTATAAAGTAAAGAAAAAAAATTCTATTAAAAATAATTTTTGAATTTTTAAAATTGAATGGTTATAAAATTTTTCACAATAATTCGAGTAGATTAGAATTTTCCTTTCAATTGTCACAGTGTACGTACTTATCAGAGAAAATTTTGTACTCACCTGCATATTTATTTTTCATATGTCAATCAATTTTCCTGTGTTGCATAAAAAAAAAATGTGTACTTTTGAAAGTATGTAACTAATTACTGGAAATTAATAATTTTTGCCTAGATTAGTATACATACTTAATTTGCATCTAAATTTTGTGTAGAAAAATAAATAACATGCACGTATAAGAATAATATATGTGTCGTATTGTAATATACACTAGCGCCAACTATATTTACATAATACTAAAATTACATTTATAGAAATCACTATATTTTATTTCAAAATACATTTATAGCTGTTATTCTACGAATTACAATATAAATTCTCTCTGCCTGTACGTGCATTAAGAACTGAATTCTTGCAACGTGTTACCAGATTAAATGGTTTTGTTTTATATTACGAGTATGTATATTTAAATTAATAAGTGAATTATTTAATAAAATTATAAAAAATAATATTCTAAATTGAAATTAAAAATTTATGATACGAATTTGAAAATTTTAAAATTCATTAAGAAAAATGTTAAATTAAAAAACAAAGAATTTTGACATTTGAATATATGCCATTTTTTTATGCTTAGAAATAACAAAATATTTACATACAGAAATTTATATCTATACATATAAGTATATTAAATTAATTTTATTCTTAGAAATGATGGTGATAATGCAAGTAACATTTACAACAATCGCAATAACAAAATTATATAAAAATATAATAATATTAATTGAATTTTACTGTTGTACTCATAACTATTACTCAATCTCTATATGTATAATCATAATTATACATATACTCGTATGTATGTATGTATATAAATTTCAGTTCGCGTGAATGTGAAAATTTTGATTTGCATTCGGTTAAAGAATTGAATTCAAATTATTTTAATAAAAAAAAAATTAAATTTACTTATTTTTTTTTCTCAATTCTCTTATACAAAAACATAACGTTTTCATATATGAAAGCATTGGTACATATGTAGTCCAAATATATTATATATGTACACGTAATATGTATACATATATATATTTTATATGCAAGTGCTAAAGAAAAAAATCTGATTTATTTAAAATGTTTAGTCTTCTATGTATGCAAATAAGGAAATAGAAAAATTATAAAAAAAAAATTTTTTTGCTGACTTTTCTGTTTGACCCAGATCAAATTTCAATTTGTACTTAAAACCATATAAAAAATTTCTAAACTTATAAGAATATTAGAATATTATATAAGAGTAAAAATAATAATAATAATAAATAATAAAGTAAGTATAATATTTAATAAGTTCTTGTAATGAGCATAGGAATCCCGTTGAAAAATAGGATTATAATTATATACCTATGTATGTATAGAAAAAAAAAAGTTCGCAGATCATGACTTATTTGGCTTTAATATATTTTAGCCTCTTTATTTTTATTTCATTCATTTTTGTCTCATTTTTTTTTTATAAGAATGTGCAATGTGTGTCTGTTCTATATAAGTATATGTACAAGGTGTATTTCATATTTTTTAAGCTAAAAACAAATTATAAGACTTATTATAAGACTTAGGTGATTGTATATAAAACAATAATTCCATATTTAAATTTCAGCTGAATTATATTTCAAATCTAATTACTTTGCCGAATTTTTTTTTAACTGTTCTTGTTCTTGTATAAATTCTGTTCAGTATAAAATAATATTAAATTTGAGTTATCTCGTTTAAAAAATAGAGGTAGCATGCTCGAATAACTATATAAAAAATTATAAGGTAGAGTTTGTATTTGTTTAAAATTGCGGTAATTGTAGTGCGGCAAATCAAAATCGTGCTTCTTATAAAACTCCAAAAACAATAGAAATAAAATTGTTTAGTTCCGGTGCGGTTGCTGCGCATAAATTTAGATTCATTTAATTAAAACTTTTTTGACAACTGCGTATCGCATGCCGCATACATACAATTAAATTGACCACTTAAATTTAATCTTATACTTGTATTATATTTAATATTTTAAAACACAACTTATTGTCCGACTTATCTTGAAACTTAAATAATTATGGTAATATGATTTCTCATACTTGCAATTCATAAATTACATTTTTTACTATCAAATTTTTTTAATTATTTTTTAAAACATGCCATAAAATCTAACACCAATTGACAAGAATGAAATTTCACAAAAAAAAAAAAAACGGTTATTATTCAACATTAGTGCCCCCTGTAAAAATAAATTCTTCAAATATTTTTCAAAAAAAATTTAACATATTATAAGTATATACGAGTATGTATATATAGAATATTTAAAAAAAGGAACTAAAAAAAACCCCAAAAAGATTTAAAATCTTACTAAGGTATTTTACTTTTTGACATATGAAATTAGAAGCGAATGGGTTATTCGATAGGTACTCGTATTATTTAAAATGATTTATCGAGTAGTAAATACTTCCTTTGTTAATTTTATTTTATTCTTTAGGGTTCATCAACCCTACATAATGTACGGCCAGAGAAAAAAGGAAAATTTGTAAATGAAAGCAACAAAAGCAAAAAAAAAAATATGAGCCAGTTGCATTTTAAAACTGTGAATCCAAACAATAATCGGTTTTTAAAAGAATTGTAAAAATTGAAGGTATAAAAATATTTTGTAGAAAAATTATTAAAGGGGGAAATTTTTTCGTTTTTTTTTACTTTTCGTTTTTTTTTTTAAATCCTAAAAAGTAAGGGAAACGATGTGTTGTTTCTTTGTTGTCTGTCGATCAAAGGTGGTTCTTTAAGTATTTTTTATTTATTTATTTTTTATTTTATTGATATGAAAAAAAAAATATTGAAATGAGTTTTTTTATTGACTTCGAAAAAAAAATAGATGTAGATATTTTCAATTGAATGAGTGTATAGAGACGAAATATTTTATACATTAAAAGGTCAAAGGACTAAAAAGGATTTTATGATGATATTTAATACATTATTACTTTGTTTAAACAGCTTACTTTGGTCTATAAAAATAATTTTTAATTCTAATTATTAACTTTTTTTTTTACATTTATGATTAAAAGCAAATAAACAAAGATTATTGTAGACAGAAATTGTTTATTTTCAAATTTTTCAATATATCGAAAAAATACTGAAGAATACAATCACCTTAATTTAATTGTTGAAAAATATGCACAAAAATATTTACCTATATGTAAATAAATTGACAGAACTGCGGTTAACAATTAACCCCATATTTACTTATGCCATAATTAATTTTGGTTCACGTAAAATTATTAAAAAAGAACCTTAAATAAATGACACTTTAATCTTACAACTATTCTAGAATTCTACACAAATTTATAAGAAATATTAAAATACCAATTATTTAAATTATAATAATATTAATAATTTTTAAAATATTATTTAATATACTTAAAATATTTGATATTAAAATCAATAAATTTCTATTTATTTCATTATTAGATATACAAAACCACAATCCTTTGAAGATTGTATCGGTGATGAATTACCACATGGTTGGGAAGAATCATATGATCCAAATATCGGACGTTATTATATTGATCATATACATCAAACGACACAATTGGAGGATCCTAGACAAGAATGGAAAAGTGTCCAAGAAGCGATGCTCCGCGAATATCTTAATGCAGCACAGGACGTCTTGGAAAAGAAAAAAGAAATTTATGATGTTAAGAAACAACGTTTATGTATAGCTCAAGATGAATATAATCATTTGAATACATTAGCAGCTAGCCGAAGTAGTCGTAAGTTTGAAAAAAATAATTATATATATTTTACCTTTTTTATTTTTATAAGCTATTACAATATATAGCTGAATTGTTTACTAACATCTATCAATTAAGCTTCAATATGTTAGAGTGTAAGAACATTTAAATGCAGATCTAATATCAATTTGATTTATTAAGAACTTTATATTATATCTTCCAATAAGTAAAATTAATTTTAGATCTGCCTAAATTGAGATACTGTCCCCTTATAATGGATGAAAATTCGATCATATTAAAAGTTATAATCAGTTTCCTTGTAACTTAGTATTACTCAAATTTCTTCAAAATTAAAAAATTCAAATTAAATACTAAATGAATATGTTAATGGCATAAATAAGAAATTAAAATAAAAAAATTGATCATAAGAGTTATTATTAAAAATAATTTAATTTTAAAATCAATAAATATCTAGAAACTGTAAATTGTAAATACATACATATGCACAAGTATGTATAAAATATATTTTTTTTTAAAGCTGATTACATTTAAAGTTATAAAATTAATTTATGTACGTACTTAAAATCTAGTTTATCTTCTATATTTTAAGGAAACGCTTCACTTTTTTTTTTTTTGTTATATTTCTTACTTCATTATTTATTTTAATATAATATTATATTTCTTATACTCATGCATAGATATTATGTGTAATATATAATATATAACAATATATATCTTCATATAAAGTACGTACATACAAAATGTATGTATGTAATATTGTTGAATTCACAGAATCTATTTAACTACAATATAGAACATAGATAATATATTTATAATCTTATATTTACTCTTATATTCCTAGTATTTTCTAACTACTAATGATCAAATAACAAAATTTTATACTTACATACTTAAAGCAAAACTTTACTTGCACTCGTATTTGTCGCATAAATTTTATATTCTTAAATAATATACTCTATAATATGAGTACAATGTATGTGTATATATCCTGTATATAAAATATAATATTAGTTCTGATTAAAAAAAAAAATAAAAAATAAATAATAAATAATTAAGTATATAAAATATTATTTCAACATTTATTTTTTTCTTAATTTTTTCTTATTATAATTTTTTTTTTTTCTCAATATTCCAGTTTGCTCTTCTTCAAGTTCAATAAACACACGGCCTGATCCAGAGTTGTTGAAAGTAGATCTTGTTTTAGCTAGAGAACGAGTTAGAAAATTAAAACAGGAATTAAATAATTTAAATAATGATATCTCATATACACAACGTGGTGTGGACACATTATACAGGTATTATATATATATATAACGTATTATAGTTTTAAGCTTACATACAAACATTCATACGAGTATAATATATTATTAGTATTATTATTATTATTATTTTATATGAATACATACATAGATATTTTAAATTATAACATCTTATAGATTCCAACATTATTTTATACTTTACGTATATATATATATATATATATATATATATATATATATATATATATCCAAGCTATTATAATATTATATTACTATTATTATTTGTTATTATTATTATTTTTATTCTTTTTAATTCTTATATTATTGTTATCATTTCTGGCAAATAGACTGGCTGCGTGTAACTTGAGAATAAAACACATAATTATTATTATTTTTTTTTTCTTTAATACTTTCTAAGATTTTTTCTAATTTTTTTCTATATATATATATACGCCTGTACAAGTGTATTTAAAAAAAAAAAAAGCGTTTGGAGTGAACAAATATTCCACTTTATATTTTTATTTTCTTCGTAGAATACACACCTTTCACATGTTTTAAACAGGTATCACAAATTATACCTATACAAGAAAATAATATTTTAAATACAAATTGTGCAGATTAATGAAAAAATTTTAAATAACAAATATAAATAGGAGAAATAGAGCATACCTAGACAATTTAACAGATATTCCAACAGAATATTAATTTCAAAGTCTTGTCTCTTTTTAGAAAAATTTTTACTGCATTTTTATAGATGCGAATAACATGCGTTATGAAAATTTTTTTTTTCATAGTTTTTACCAAAATAAGGGATTTTCGATTATTCCGAATGGCACTTAAAATTCTAAATTACATCTTCAAAGTCTTTGCACACATACTCACAAATCTGCAGAAAATTGAATATTTTACTTTTGCAGATTTGCATGATACTCCAGTAATTTTTCAATATACAATATTTTTCAATTATGCTCCTCTTCTAATTTATAATATTTTTGCAGCAGCTATAAAAAAAAAACTCAAAAATACCTTTAGAACTTTAAGCAGATTACTTGTCATTTTCAAACACGCTATATTTTCAATTTAGATTTATCGAACTTTCTTTATATTAAGAGCTTAGTTGGAATTGAATTATCAATAATTACCATTATGAAATGTGAACATTATAAAAACTTGTTAATGATTTAAAAAGCATCCTTATAATAAAATGCAATTGTATTTTCATTATTTTAAAGAAAAATTTGAGAAATCATTCTGCAAACTTGTCTCAAGATTACAGTTTTGAAATTTTGAAACCTACATAATATATTCTAAATATTTTTCAAAACTAATTATTGTTTATAGCATTTACAAACGCAAAAAGACCTACACTTGACTTTTCTATCTTCAAAAATTGTAAACCAACTTTCAATATTTTTAATAAATTTTTCAAAGTAACCTTTATATTTAAATAACCTTTATATTTATTTAATCGGTTTCTTTTTTTGAAATTTTGGTATTATTTATACATAAGTACATACACACGTATGAATATCAAAATTCAAATGTTTGAGACTAGGTTCGATACATTTCATGTATAAGAGAAAAGTAACATGTAATAATAATATTATTCATTATTATTTATTCTTTTAAGATTTTATCATTAATATTCCTATTTTAAATGCCTGATTATTAATTTAATTTTAAAATTTCTTATATTTTAGCGTTGAACAAAAATTAAATGCACATGAAACTGGCTGCTATGATATATCGGAAGTTCAAGCAATACGTGAAGAAATGATTAACATTCATAAAATGTTGGTGTCTGGTGAAAAAGTCAAAGAAAAACTAATGCAAAGTTTAGTCAAATTAAAAAATGACCTCACACGTCAACAATATTGTGAAGATTCAGATATAGGTTCATCAGCTTTTGATCGAGTCTGTGTTGCATCACAAACAGATTTATGTGCAGAAAATATGAATAGTGGTGCTAAATTTGCTGAAATGGCTAAAACTAAATTACAGTATAGTGAATGGCGAAAACGTATTAAACAATTACAACAACAATTAGCGGATCATGCTGAAAAAATTGAACCCGGTCAATTAGAATCAGATAAAGATCGTTTATTATTAATACAAGAAAAAGATAAATTATTAAAGGAGCTTCGTAGTATATTACCTAAGGCGAAAAATCCAGAAGAAATTGCATCAATACAAAAGAAATGTAAAACATTAGAAGAAGATTTAAATAGTGCACATGAAGCAACAAATATATGTATCGCATACCGATTACAACGCGAAAATGAAAAGCAAAATTTAATTGCAAATCTTCAAGAAGCATTAAAATCAACAAAAATGCTTGAAGCCCGATTGAGATCGTTTTCATCAGAGAGTACGTTTTCAATTAGTAGCGGTTCAAGCGTTGGTTCATTATCAACAGCTAGTAGTAAAAGTGCACTTAGTTTTCCCGATATATATGGCGATCTTTTAACGATAGATCCGCAAGTTGATGTTCTTGATTTACAACGTAGATGCCAACGTCTTTCTCAACCTTCAGAAATTTCATTATCACCAAGAAGTAGTTTATCAATGGAAACACCTCCAGCATCCCCAATGAAATATAGTGATGCCGTAGCTCAGTTATTACAGCCAAATCATCAGCTTCTAAAAGAAGAACCAACATATGCTAATGCAAATTTTGCATCACCAACAATTCATTCAGAGTTGGATTCAACTGTTCTAGATTGCGTAAGATTGGAAGAAAGATTGCATGAACTAGAAGCGAAACAACCATACTCAATAGCTCCTTTATCACCAATTTATGAAAAACCTTCATTATTAGATTTGCCACAAGATATTTTAAGTCGATCGTCATCAACATCAAATACTCGTTCAGTGTCGGCTGCCGTGAGTAATGAATCAGTGGCAGGTGATTCTGGTGTTTTTGAAGCATCTAGAGCACTACATATGCCCAAAAAGGAATTAGCGCAAGTTCAAATTGGAATTAAATATTCAAAAGCAGAAGGTATACTATTTGTAACAATAGAGAGAGCAAGAAATCTAGTAGCTCTAGATGTTGCTGAGAATTCTCAAATGTAAGTTTTTTTGATATCATCATAAAATAGATAAATCAGAAATGAAAGTCAAAATATTTTAATTTTATTATTTTTGTAAAAATATTATAACAGATATCTACGAGCAGCGTTATTACCAAACTCATTGCAGTCTATTAGAACTAAAACAGTTACAGAATTACAGAAACCTGTTTTTGGTGAAAGTTTTTCAATCCCTATTTCGTTATCTAAAATACTTAGTAAAGTTCTACAAGTCACGGTCGTCTGCGTTTCAGGGCAGAAGGAGGAAATAATTGTAAGAAAATTTTTTTATTATCTTTAAGAAAGTAATTAAAAATTTAATATAACTAATTATATACTTTAGGGCACAATTCAAATAAGTCTTGCTGAATTTAATCCAGAAGATTCAACATTAAAATGGTACAATATATTAAGTTCAAAACTTCTCTCAAATTTTGATACGTATGAGATATCTGGAGCTTGTAAAGAAGAATCATCTGATGAATCAACTATAATTTCATCACAAACATCAACTTTAACTAGAAATCAAGGCCACGCATTAGATATTCAAGCACAAATTGCTGAAGAATTAAAAGAACATTTGAATTTGAATGATGAAGTTGACGATGATGACGATGAGGATGAAGAAGATTCTGAAGAGCATGGTAATATCATATTATCTCATTATATAATTATTTTGTAAACTATACTGACCTCATAACTTTTGTAATTTTTAGCAAATTTAACTCAGAAAATGCTTGATGCTTATATGAGTAATGTTAAACAAGAATACGTTGATAAAGAAACAAATACAGAATGTGCTTTTCCACCAGAAAAATGTAGAGCTAATCACTTTGATAACGGTGCTTCATCATCTTCTCATTTATCAGTGCCAACAAAAGATGGTTTAGGAACTTTGGATGAGCGACATGTTAAAAGATCCCAGACATTTTCACCAAGTGCAGCTGTTGCTAAAAACCGTTATATTTGTCGTTTAAACAGAAGTGATTCTGATTCTGCAATGCATTTTGGAGGAACACCACATCCTTTCCAACGTGGTGCAGTAGAAAGACGTTCGCTAAGATTCCATACTAAAACCCTCAAGCCAATGTCAAGTAATTATGATTATTTCAAAACCTATTTTAATAAATATTTTTATATTTGTATTTTTTTTTTCTTCAGAAATTCCCCATGCTCATATACCAAGAACCAGTTTAGATTTAGAATTAGATCGTCAAGCACAGCATAGTAAATTGAATTGCTTAAACGATGAAATTTCAAAATTAAAAAATCTAAAAGAAACGTAAGAATCTTAAAAAAAAATTATATATTTTGAAGATTAATTTTTACAAAAATACTTATTTTTATATTTCAGACTTGAACAAGCTCTTGATAATAAGGATTTTAAAGTTGCGACATGGGCCATAGAGAATGAAGATTTTCAACGTTTAGTAGGAAGAATGGATCCAGCAAATTCACCTGAGGAAAAACAATTACAAAAACTATTGCATAAAACATCTAAAGAAATTTATAAACTACGTAAAACTAAAGTAGCGAAAGGTGCACCCGACCTAATTACATTCAAGTGAGTTAACATTAATTTCAAATCAAAATGCAGAAACATTAATTCTAATTAAATTTTCATATATTTTATATTTTAGAGAAAAAATTGCATTTTTCACTCGTAAAGGATTATCAGTACCTGAATTGCCAACAGAATTAGTTGTAACAGAAGAAAGTAATTTGGACTATGAATTAAAAAATGAAAATTTAAATTCAACAGAAGTTTGTTTGAGTATTAATGAAAATAATAATGAAAAATTGAATAATATAATAGAAGATCAGCAAATTTCTAAACAAATATCTGAAACAAATGATATTAATGACACAAATACAATTTTAAAACCAAATGGCAACAATAACAACAGTACGGCAACTCCACAAAAGGATAATAATTCATACGAGTATATTGTTGATAGAACCTATGGAGTAGAAGTGTAAAATACATTAAATAGAAAAATGTTAATTGGAAAATAAAACAATTATTAATTGTTTCAGAAGATTTTGGAAATATACTCTGAAATAAAAAATTTACTTTTTTGGGGCAAAAAAAAAATTGTATAGATAGATTTAGAATGTTTTGAATTTTACAAAATTACGACAAAATTAAAAAAAAATTCCATTTCGAATAAAAGAGATTTAGAAACACAAACACAAAAAAAAATCGAGAATTTTACGAATATGTAAAACAACAAAAAAAAAAAAGTTTCAACTGAGTATCTATACAGAAATTTTTTAATGTTTAACATTTATATGTTCAAGTCCTTCAAATGATTACACTTGACTTAAAAAATGTATTATATAAATCGAATAACAACCCTAAGGCCGAAAAAGTGCAAAAGATGTGTTATTCTAAAGTTGATTTTAGTTTAGAAACTAAAATTCATTATTAAAAATTAAGAAGAAATATTATTTTCTTAATAAATATTAAATATAAATATATAAAATTAAATATGCATAAAATATGCGCAGAATATATTATAAATATGTGTTTAAACTCATAATTTAACATGATAAATGTTATATAATAAATGCATATTAATAAATTCATAATATTATATTAAAAACCCATAGTTAAAAATATAGATACGTATACATAATTACATAATTAAATAATAATTATTACAAAAACAAAAAAAAAAATAAATTGCCATGTTAATATTAATCATGATTAAAGGAAAATTACTTTTATTTATAATTTTTAATTATTGTTAGAAATTTCAAGAAAACAAAAATTTTTTGTCTTTGTACCCAACAAAATATAATTACATACATTTAGGTATATACTTAGACATTAAATTATAAATTTAGAAATATTATAGAAATCAAAGATTTATTTTTTAATTAATAATTATAATTTATAAACAATTTTTTTTTTGTAATTTATAACATTTTATTTGTTTTTTAATTTTTTTTTCTCTTTCGACTTACATATTTTATTATGTTAATTTAATAAAAACTATATTTTACTATTACAATAATATTTTGTTTAATAATAAATAGAATTATGAGAAAACCTTTACAAGGTACTCACTTTTTTATTAATAAAAAAAATTTTTACTTGTACAGATCAATAATTGTTCACTGCTAAGTAAATTGTCTAGTAAAAAGAATATTGATTAAAAAAAAAATACTATATTAAACAATAATAATATTTTATTTAAAATTTACTCATTTTAAAATTTTTTAAAATATAATAAAATTTATACATGTATAATGAATATAAAATAAATAGTATATTATATTTCATCTTTAATTAATAAATGCATATAAATAAAATTAAAAATACTAAATCATATATTATATAAGTTTGTAAATATGTGCCTTAAATTATGTTAATCAAAAGAAAAATTATAAAGATAAAATATATATAAAACTACCAATATTGAAAAATGGTATAATTAAGTATATCAATTCTTATACATAATTCTTTTATATAACTATTTCGAATGAATTGAATTTACATTGTTAGCCATTTTGGATGATTTTGTAAAATATTTCATATAATATATAAAAGTAGGTACGCGTATAAAATACAAAAGAGCTCACAAACAAACAAAAAAACAACATTTTTATATTTAATATTCTTAGAGTCAGTCATTTAATTCAACACTTGTTTGACCATATTTTTATATCATAATCAATATTGGAAGTAACAAATTAATATATAGAAAAATTAAATATAATAGTGATCTTTAAATTTCAATATTTTCAAATTATATATTATTTTTATTTGTTAAAATAAAAACTAACTAATTATAAATACCACACTATTATTTAAGAAGCTTTAAATTTTTAATGGTAAATGCGTACTTTTAATGTGTAACATACTAGACTTTAAAATTTATAGAAAAATTAAAGTCAATCTTTTACTAGAATAAAAAATATCATTATATAATTTTAAAAAAGAAAAAATTAAAAATTGTAAAAAAAAAAATAAATATTTTTATTAAAATTATAGTTAATTTTGTTTTGAAAAAAATTATATTTTATTATGTCGATGAATAATAATTTAAATTTAAATACAATATTAAACATACTAAAATATTTTTAAAGTATGTATGTTTACTACTCTCCAAAATCATAACATATTTTATAAATTTAATTATTTTAGAATATGTATAAATAATTTGATAAATATTGTTATTTGAAAATCACTAATAAAATAAAAAAAAAAAAATGAAAAAAAAAAACTTGCGTTTTCGATGAGTTTAAGATTAATAATAAATTTCGCCAAAATTAGATTTAAAATTATATTTTTAATATAACAAAAAAAAAAAAAGAAAAAAAAAAAAGGATTCATATAATTACATACATAAAAATATATGTATATTTAACCCTTACCGAATTAACAGCAATTTTTAAAGTTAGACCCGTAAAAACTTAATTGAAATTGTGTCATAAAAATGTTTTCCTTAAATAACACTGTATGGTTATATTTATAATTTAGATTCTTATTATATAGAAGAAAAACATTATTTTAATAAATGTATAAATGTAAATAAATATTATGTATTAAATCTTTAGTATTTATAGTACATAAAATTTCTTTTATAAAATTGCAATTTAATCATTTGATTATTGTATTTAAATTGAAATAATTCTATATTTATCGTTATATTATTATTATTATCGATTAAAACAGTAACTATTAAAAAAAAATTCTTGTTAATTTTAATTCTTTTCAATTTTTTTTTTTTTTTTTTCAATTAATTGACCGTGACATTCAATCTATAATTTTATAAAAATCATTTTGTAAACTTTGTTTGGTTTACTTTTGAAAAGGCAAGGGTTGATAAAAGAAAATTCTTGAAATTGTTAAAATAAAAATAATAAAATAATATGTAAATCAACCAATTTTATAAATATAAAATAATATGAACCACAATATATAACTTAAGGATCGTGCAATAAGTAACAAAATAAAAAAAAAATTATTATTTATTCCGTATTTAAAGTTAAATTCAATTAATATCAATAATTTTTTTCCACTTTTTTCTATTCTGACTTAAAAAAAAATATTCCATTAATTTCAAAATCGAAACCTTATATAAATTCATGTATTTATATTTTAAAATATATACTAAATAAGAATTAAAATTTGTTACATATATGTGTATATAAACAACTATATTCTGTTAATCACATCACTTGGGGGCTCATTAAAGAATTTCGAATTTCTGAATTGATTTTATTCAGAAAAGATTTTTGAATAAGAACCTATCATTTAAAGTGATGCGATTGTCAGAATATGGGTGATTATATAATGCATATATATATCAATAAAATTTCAAAAACTATCAACATTATAAAAAGAATTACCTACATAATTTCTATGGAAATTGAAAAATTAAAATATTTTTCTATAACAAAAACCTAGTAACAATTTTTATTTTAATTTTAAAAACTTGAAAACAAATATTTATGTACATAAATTGTCAATATATCCAAAAGAATCAGAAAATATATACAAAGTGGTTAATTTTAATTATTTCATTATAACATTGTTCTTTTTTATAAGTAAATAATAATTGTGCCTTCATATTAAATTTCTTACTGTACTGTCTACTACACAATTATAATATTTACCCATTATATAATAGCCCAATAAATTTACAGGAAAGTAAGAAAACAATTTTAAAATATTTTACTCATTATGAATAGTTAGCCACTGAATTTATATATACAAAAAAAAAAAAAATATTATATAATAATGAATATATATAACTTAAATAATATAATTTTTTATTTTTTAAAATACTAGGTAAATATTTTACCGATTATTATTAGTGTAATTGATATAAATTGAATATGTAGTAATATTTAAAATAACAAAAAAAAAAAAAAAAAAAGAAAAAAAAAATGAAAAATAAAATTTTATAAAGAAAAACCTTTCCTTTTTGTTTTTGAATGCGCTGGTAAAATGAAGGTAACAAAATAATTAATTTGAATATTAATTTAGAAAAATAATTTTGATTGGCTTATTGTAAAATTATGTATTCATGTGTATGTTTATATTTTTTATTATATATATAAAGATATTATATATTATTATATAGTTATGGAAAGATATATATATATATATACATATATAAAAATATTTTTACTAAGTTCTATTTAGTAAAACAAAATTCTATATTTATGAAAAACTTAAAAAATAATATTGAAAAAAAAAAAAAATAAAATAATTTTAAAATAAACAATATTGAAGTTTGATTTGAAAATATTTAATTATTTTCTTTATTTTATATTAAATATTAAATAATACTTTGAATTAGCGACAAGATGTATAATTTTTGTTTTTACAGAAATGGGATTTTCGATAATTAGGAATAGTCTTAAAGTTCTAAATTAAGGTCCTTATTATGATTATCGAAGCGAATAAAATTTTTTGGCAAATATGAATTTTTGGTATTATGATTAACGAATTCGCCTAAATTTTAAGCGAATGAGTTGTCAAATCTGTCGAATGAAAATTCTGTGCGACAAGCTTGGCAAATGAAACGAAAAATCAAAATAATACATAATAGTATGCGTTTTTTTTTATTGGATATTATAGTATTTTGTAGTGATATAATTTAAAAATCTAAATTATTTGTAAAGTAAGTTTATAAAATTCTACAATTTATTGTAAAAAATAATGATTGTTTAATATTATTTTAACGTGAAATAAATTAAATGCAGAACAACCTCGTAATTGCTAAAGATAGGAAAATTCAATACACACATTATGTGTGATGTTAACCTTATTATTTTCGGTAGGTTTTTTGATGTCTTGCGCTAGTCAATATTTTGGATTTGGGGAATGAAAACATTCGCTGATCATAATTGAATATGTCATTCGATTCACTTAGTCCATTCGACTTGCCTCGCCTAAAATTTTAAAAGTTTTCTTCTGCATACTTCCAAATCTGCAGAAACTGAGTATTTGTGCTTTTGCAAATTTGTAATATTCTCGAAAAATTCTTCAATATCCAATATTTTTCTATTTATGCTCTTATAATTTTTATTGTTTTTTCAGTAGTTATAAAAAAACTTGAAAATTTCTTTAGAACTTTAAACAAAGATGTAATTTTGGAAAATGCTATTTTTGCAAACTTTTCAGTTTGAATTTATTGAGCATGCTTTATATTAAAATCTAATTTAGAATTAAATTATCGGAAATCCCCAAACAATTTATTTATGGCTTAAAATAAACAAATAAATTGTGAGTTTAAATATTTTGGGAACTGTTTACTATTCTGCATATTTTTACAATTTAATGATTTTTATTTATTTTTACTAAAATACTTTTTCAAAATCAATTATAAAATTTTATGTTTTATTTCAATTTTTCATTTGTTTTTATACAATAAGAAATATAATTCAACCGCATTACTAAATAAATTCATGATTTTCTAATTGAATTTTATTTAATAAATTCATAAATTAACAAATAAAAAATTTACAAAGTCCAAGTAAATTTAAAAATGAATTTGAAACACTCATATTATTGTTACTATTATTGTTATTTACATTATTAACTCCCAAATTATTATGATTTTGTGATATTTGTTGGTCACACTTATACATTGCATTAATTTTTGAAATATCATGTGATGAAAAACCAATTCTTTGCCCCATAGAATTGGTAGGAAACTAAAATAAATAGAAATTTAAATTAAATTTTTTCTATTTCATAAAAAAAAAAAAAATTATATAAAAGAATAATTTTATATTATGTACATATATATACCTTGGCTATGATTGTAGGTTGTCCGTTTGATGAAAAAGCAAATGGTGAATAATGCATAATACTACCATAATCATAAGGTAATCCAAAAGCTGATATTGTACTTTGGTTACCCTATTGTAAATAAACAGTATATATATATTGTTATACAGAATATATTATTAATTATTGTTAATTTTTTATATAATAAATCACATTAATAACAAAAAAACTTACTTTAGAAAAATTATTAATAGAATTTTTATCAATATTCTCATAATTAATTTTAATAAAATTATCTCTTTCATAACGATTATGTTCATGTAAAAAACCAACAACATGCATTAATTCATGTATAAATGTTCCTGAACCTTTAGATAAACAAGCTGGTGTCTGTAAATTAATTTCTTGTCTTCCACCAATTTTACCAATACTTGACCAACAACCAGATTTTCCATTAACAATTGTAATATAATCTGTTTCGATTGTACGTGGAATAAAACGAATACAAGTTTTTATATGATATTCATTAAAACCAATACGTAATTTATCTAATTCATCTAATGTAAATGTTCCTTCAATTAAATATGGTATTGTATTATTTGGCCAACGATAAATTTGTGAAATTAATCCATTGCGAGAATTTTTATGAGGAAATGGAATCAATATATCACCTTCTAAATATGTTCCCAATTCTTCTGGATTAACTGATTCATTATTATAATTAATTAATTTAGATGCAGTTATTTCATAATCTGGTTTAGTATAAATTGAACGATCAAAATGTATTAAATCAATTGCATTATCCATGTCTAAATCATTATTGAAATCGGAATTTGAATTTTTATTATTAAATTCAATATCATTTTCATTTAATTCTTCAATTATTTCGGTATAATCTTGCATTGGCATGGAATTTACTATATGGTTGATCATGAGTAAATTAATTGTAAGTAGAAAAATTTTCATTTTCTATATTTAAAATATTAAAGAATAGAATAATAAAATTTAAAAAAATTATGAATAAAATAAATTAATTGCAAAAAATTCTATTTTTCATGTGCTTCCTACCGGGAAAAAATGGCAACGTTTTTGAGAACCAAAACTTATATTTTTACAAAAAAAAAATGTATGACTACTTCAGACAATCAAGGATTTTTCCAAGGGAAATTAAATATTTTACTAAACTTGTAAAAGAAAATTTTATACACTTATATACACACATAGAAAGTATTGGCATATGAACACTTTCTTGATTTCTTGATATTTTTAATTTTTTTTTTCTTTATTTTTATTGTAATCATTAAAATTACTGAAGTGTTAATTAAATATGCAAAATATTTTTGAAAATTGTAAATGTAATAAATATTAAGCTTATCACCTGGTTTTAATAATTAACAGGTATTTTTGGTTCTTTTTTTAAAATACATGTGTAAAATGAAAATTATGAGATACTCGTATGTATACAAAAAAAAAAATGATTTAAATTAATTAGGCTATTAAAAATATAGTATATAATTATCTTGAGCTTGAACTTTTAGAAATTATGGGTGTATATTATAAATATAAAATATACATACATACATACATATATTATGATTATAATATTATGCAATAATTTATACGCTTGCATTCCTATAGTTGAATGAAATTTTTGGTTAATGAAAAAATTTTGTTAATGAAATTTTATTAAATTTTTTTCTTTTTAATTATACTTTTATTAATAATTACTTTTTGTATTGATATTTTTGCAAATTAAAGAAATACAAGGGTATAATAAATCAATTATTATTATAATAAAATTAAATAGATTTTTTTATATACATACCTTTTAATTTAATATGCATAATGCTGATTGATTAAGAACGCCTAAAGAAATTAGATTTTTTAGAATCTACAATCGCTTACTAGATCGTTATGTAATTGGAAAATCAAACTTTGAATCGCCAATGACAGTATCATTTTTCGGAATGTCAAAATTAGTATTTTATTTCAGCTATCAAATGTTCTTTTGTATTAGTTGAATATGAATTCATTTCCTGTCATGATAGCTGTGTTACAGTAACTCAAACTTATACAAAAAATTCAAAACTTGAAAATTTAATACGACTGCTATTCTCTTTAAATTGCTTGTTACGTGTGATTATTTCTTTCGTAGACTTTTGAGGGTAGTTTTGAATTGGTATGAACGTAATTTTTGATTACTCTATTACGAATATTCCGAGTAGAATTTTAGTAATTCATAATTTACAATATGATATTGTAATTTTCCGAGTTTCAGAGGTACAAACGAAATTCATGATAGGGCTGATTATCCTAATAAGATCAATAATTTTTGGGCTTAATTATAATTATTTTATTTGCCATTTATAATAATTCCAATAATTATGACAAAATAATGTGAAATGTTTTTTTAATAGCAAGTATACCCATAGAAATAATATTTCAAGCTTTTTAATTACAAAGGCTCTATAATATGAAACTGTTAATACTTTAGTAATGTTAAAGCCATAAACACAAGCAACTCTTATTATTAGAAGGTGAGAAAAATTACATTATAGATTCTAGAATGTTGGACGCTAAGAAATTTTGTGGAAAATTTTCATATGATGTACGTATGTATGTAGTTGGCAATATCATATATTTAACAAAATATGTAAGTATGTAAAATAAATTCTTTTCTATAGTTTTAAAGTAATTCTAATCTAATAGAAATTCTAAAACAATAAAATTGCTTTGTGATTTTTATGCTCTAATTAAAAAAATAAAATTTATGTTCTTTTTCCTTTTAAATTTTTATGTAATTTTATTTTATAATTTTGTAGATAATTTGAATTTATGTATTTTTTTTTTAATGAAAGAAATCTAATTATCAAATATCCTATTAATCACTGTTTTAAAAATTTGGAAACCTTTACGTATATACACTTATCTTTATACATAATGTAGGTATGCATGAAAATTTTCTTTACATGTTTTACAGGAACATATGTATGTACATAATAGTACGAGTATGTACAGGCTCCACTAGAAGGGTAGACAAGAGGGGCATTAATACTGAGCCCCTTTAACTGCGGGGCCTCAAATTCAATGAAGAGAATGTTTTAAATATTTTCATTTGTGCTTAGTTGAATCACTTAAACCTTTTATCAATAATACGTTAGGGCCGACTAAATGGACTAGCAATTATAAAACATTAAATATGAAATAGCACGTTCTTTAAATTATTCGAACATAATTATTAAATTTGGTGATATGAAAGCGCGTAAAGCTTTTGTGCAATAATTAAAAATAATATTAAATAAACTTAACATTAAGTTATTGTTTTTATTCTGTATCCTTAAGTGTTGTATTTGATAAATTTCAGGATCTTTAAATATCAGTGGACCCAGATGCCGCGATTTCTCTAAAATCCGCTGTGCATGAATGCATGTGCATCGTATAATTTAAAAATTTCTTAGCTATAAGTTATCGTAAGCACATTTTTATAAAATGTGCAATAGAAATGACATAAAATCTTAAAAAACAAAATGGCCGCTAAAATAAACGGTAGAACCGTTTTTTATTTGAAAAAAATTAATGATATTTGTTATTCGAAGAGCCCATTATACTAATACATATATACACTTCTATTCATGATTCTGGTGAACGTTTAATTAAGTCTCTACGCTACAATTCTAATCGATCCTCTACAATCCCTATTTCTGATTGATCTTTTAAAGTTGAAAATTAATAAAATGTTTAAAAATATAATATAATAGGTAGATTTGTACAGCGGGGGAAAAAGTGCACCACAACCACGTGTAAGGATCTATTGTGCGCCCCCAAACCCCTGTTTACGGAAATGCCCTACAACACACGGTTGAAACCCACCATCATGACTAAAGCAGCTTGTGAAGCCCAGAGGACTGAAACTCCGCCGCCGTGAGAGTAAAGCCCCTCAGCGAGAGCATCGCAATCCCTCAGAATATAATAAAATATAATTATAATTTATGGAATTAATTACTTTTAATAAAAAAATGGCACGTCTAATTTTTTATAATAATAAAATTCATAATTTTACTAAAATTTTCCATCGCCTCTTGTTTAATTACGTTGTCTTTGTTGAGGGAAATGTGGGCTTACATAACATGCTCCTAATAAGATTTACATAATTATGTTATACAATTTAATCAATTATAATTATCTCATCATTCTCATATAAATTAAATGTAAGTAAATGTAAGTAAAACTTTCTTTCGCTTAATTACGATATTATACAAAATCGTTTTTCCTTGATAATAATGAAAATTGTTAATTTTATACTTAAATTTTTTATACAAACAAATCGTAGTAAATAAACGAAACGATCAGAAAGTTTTTTGGTTTTTGTATAAAAAGGAGGTGAATATTCTTATACAGTATCATAATTCAGTTAACAGTCTTCAAGAAAAGTTCTTCAAAAATATATACTTACATATAAATTTTTCCAAAGAAACAAAGTAAAATAAATTTATATTATATTGAGTAAATTATACAAATTTAGTAATCTCTATTTTATTTCCATATTTTCACAGATGTTTACAAAAATCGCTGTAATTTTTTTATTGATGGTCAACGATTCGTTTGGTTTACCAGCTTTAAAGGACATTAATTCAAATTTAATTAGTAATGATGAACAGGAGAATGAGATTTTTGAAAGTGAATTAAAATCAGCATTAGAAGATGATGATTTTATAGATCTTTCACATTTAGACTCGAAATTATATGGTAAACCAGATAACGTTACAACTAAAGATAATTTAGAAAATTTCGACATTAATGACAAAGTTAATCCAGAGGAATTAGGAACTTATTTAGAAGGTGATATATTAATGCCACCACCTTCAAGTCGTAACGGTATGATATCTAGAGCATTCCGTTGGCCAAAAGGTATTATTCCATATGAAATACGTGGTTCATTTACTGCAGCCGAATTAGCTCTTATAAAACACGGTCTTAATGAATATCATAAAAAAACTTGTATTCGATTTAAACCACGTACAAATGAAAAAGATTATATTTCAATTGTTAATTCACCAAGTGGATGTTGGTCTTCTATTGGAAGAATTGGTGGACGTCAAGATGTTAATGTACAAACGCCAGGATGTTTTGTTCGTGGATCAGGAACTTTTGTACATGAACTAATGCATGCTGTGGGATTTTTACACGAACAAACTCGTCATGAAAGAGATAATTATATTACAATTCAATATAATAATATTAATAAAAGTTTTTTACATAATTTTGACAAGGTTTGTAATCCAAATAATTTTTAAAAGAATATTTCTAGAATACCATTAATTTTTCTTTCTTTTCAGACAAGTCCAAGTCAAGCGAATGCTTTTGGAACACCTTATGATTATGGCAGTATAATGCATTATTCTGCTTATGCATTTTCCTCAAATGGTCAACCTACGATAATTCCAAAGGTATGAATTTTTATTTATGTACATATATAATTTTTTTAGTATTAAATATATAAATTTATTGATTAATTTTAGCAAAAGGTTTCCGTAATGGGACAGAGAAATGGATTTTCCGAATATGATGTAATGAAAATTAACTTAATGTATAAATGTTCACGTCGCCAAAGACGTTAATCATGAAAGGATAAAAATTCTATTCGAAACACCAAATAAAAATATTTGACGAGAAATATTGTTAATTTTCACATTTATTGATAATGTTTTTAAGTATTTATTTAATTTATTCAAATCTAGATTTCAGTTTCAAAATAAAATTATTCAATCATATAAATTGAGTCTTTTTCTTGTTTCCTACAGTTTCAAAAAAATGAAGCTCTTTACTTTATTTAAGAAGCAAATAAAATATACCAAATCATGCTATTAAAAAAATGGGCAAATCAACAAGTTACACTGATTAAAAACTAATATAAATATATATTTGCTTTTATTTACTTTATATTCTTAGTTTGAAGCTCTGAAGATGCTTCTAAGAATTTATAAAAATTTGACTATCAATTTGTTATTCATCTTAATTTATATATTCAATTTGCCCTGATTTAGATACAATTATTGTATTGAAAGTAGTATTTTATTTCAAATAACAAAGTAAATTGATTACATTACTTTTTCGTTAATGGAAGATATTTCATTTTTATTTGATATTTGATTCATGTTTCGTATAGTCTTCGTGCAATTTTTACTCCTTATTTGAACTAAATATAGATCATAGAATGTCGTAAAAAAGTTTATTATACAATGTTATTAATTTAATCTCTTCGCTTTTTACGATCACTACTCCGATCCTTGTCATTGCGATCATCTTCTCGTCTTTTTGGAGCTTTCTTAGCCATAGTCAAGAACTGATCTAAACCGAAAGGATCTTCTTCTTTTTCAAATTGAACAGGGCCCGTTCTTGGATTTTGCCCACTTCTATCTGTTCCACTGAATTCTTTGTCTGGTACAAAACGCTGTGTATTTACTATTTTATCTAAATCTGCTCCATAAACATCATTGTCAACTTGTTTGCTAGGTCTGTACAAATGATTTGCTAACGAATTATCTCCGCGCCATGGTTTATCATATACATTGTAGGCTTCGTCATCTCCATATCCTGAATCCATTCCTTTAGTAGTATTAAATAGTCTTTGATCAAACAGTGCTTCACCAGCAGTATTCGTTTTTGCAGGCATTCCTAGAGCAATCTGTTCGGAAATATCACGTTCTCTTTCTCTCTGTAATTTTGACCTTTTATCTGGAGCAGCTCTTGCGATGTTTCGATCGCGTACTCTCTCCCTATGTCGTTCAGCACGTAATTCATCACGTTCTCTTACTTCAGGATTATTATTAACTTCATCAGGTAAACGAAGGCCAGCACGCTCCTCCCTTGCTCGTTGGGCCATTTGCCGTAACATATCTTCTTTCTTTTCCTTTTCTTTTTGTGCCAATTTCTTTTCTAATTGAGCTCGAGCTTCTACGGCTTCTCGCGCTTTTCTATCAGCTATATACAATGCTTCCGCCATTTTGGCAAATTTCTCGTTTATGTGAACTTGTTGAAGACCTCTACCGTCTGCAGCTAAACGTTTGTCTAATGGAATAGTGTATCCTTTTGCATTTTTCCAGTTCGATATACAAGGTGGAATTTTCCATTCTTTTTGCTCTTTAACTGTCACCTTCCTAGAAGGAGAATGTAACACTGGAGCAGGAGGAGACGGTGGTCCACGAGGTATTTTTTTATTGATTTTGAACTTCGGTGGTTCCATAGGATCTACTTGCGCTTCTACCATACGAATAACTCGCTGTTTCGCACCAGAATTAAATGCGTCTCCTTGTTGTGATGGAGTATATCGAATATATTGCGCTGGAGCAGATTTTTCTGCATGCCTAACAGGCATTGCTGCAGCGATCTTTTGATTCGTCAATTTTTCCAACGCTTTACGTGTTTGTTCGGTTACATCTGCTATTGTTTCTTCATCTGGTCTTTGAAGTTCTTCCGCATCTTCAGCTAGAACTTCTGCAGGCAGTAGCTGATTTATACTAGAGTAAACAATTTTATCTTTTCCGTGACCTTGCCTTGCTATGGCGTCATATTTAATTTTACCAGTTTCATCTAAGCGAATGGCTAATGCGTTTGACTTTTTTCCAATATTGCCTGGAGCTCCAAGACCTAACAAAGAAAATTTTGAGCCATATCAACCATTTCTATTACATATGTAGTTACCTAACGGGTACTGGGCTACATGAATTTCAGGAAAAGCTCCACCGTCTCCAAAATCCGCTTCAGTTCTCGGAACCCAGCCCTTTCTCTGACCGTATGGAGGTGCTGCTATTTTCGCAGATACTAAAGCACCCATTTTAGGTGCGCCAGCGACTCGTCTTTCATCTTCTCTGTCCCATATCGAATTAGTGGGGGCAGGAAGTAAAGTGGATAAAGACATTTTTTCTAAAATTCTTTATTAATACAATATTTTCAATATAACTTTATTTTACTATTTAGTTTCACAAAGGCACAAACCAAGAAATAGAAATGAAACGTCAAAATCAAATTATGATTTATGATAAACTGCAGACAGTGACATTGCTACACTACACGCAATCCCACAAAAATTTTCATGTGCTGAAAAATTTATATTAAGGTGTTGACATCTATTCATAGTGTAAATGCAGTGAATAAGGAACTTCACTATTAATAAATGCAGTCAACCGCAAAATACGTGTTAGTATGTTTAAATAGTTCATACGAATTTAATGAGTATATAAAAAATACAATTCTGTAAAACACGAACTATTATACAAATTATTTTCATTGGAAGTAACCGTGACGGATCACTGAATGAACTGTCTATAACGACTTCAACATAAAAAATTTCAACTTGGTTCCGCTACAATAACAGTAAACATTTCAAACTGAATTGTCAAATTAAAATCTGACAAGTGACAGTTCCTACTTTCTTATCAAAACATGATTTTGTTCAACGTTGCACTCTAATTAAACATAATTATTTATAATTAACTAAAATTTAGTTTTAAAATGCAGCCAGATTTAACTGAAAGGATATTACAATACTTGAATGAACATGAAAGAGTAGATACGTTAGATTTAGTTCCAGTGTTTAATGTTGATCATCAAAAGATAATTGGAGCACTTAAAAGTATTCAAGCTTCCGGCGAATTGGTTAAGGCTGAACAAACATCGCGGAAAACATTAGAGCTTACTGAAGAAGGAAAAGAAGTATCTAAGCATGGAAGCCACGAAGCTATTGTGTATTATTTCATTCCATTGCAAGGAATACCTCAAACAGAACTTATGAAAAGTTCTCCAAATGCAAAAGTAGGTTTTAGCAAAGCTATGTCGCAAGGATGGATTCTCGTCGATAAATCAACTAATCCACCGTTAATCAAACGAAAAGTGGATAAAATTGATGATACAGTAAAATTGCATTTAGAAAATTTATCGAAAGGGGAACCAATTCCGGACAAATTGATTAATGATTATAAAAAAAGGAAACTTGTGCAGGAAATTGTAACTAAAAGCTTTATTTTAACTAAAGGTCCAGAATTTGCCTTAGTCTTAACAAAACTAGAAACTGACTTGACGGTTGATATGCTGGCATCAGGGCTCTGGAAAAATTTAAAGTTTAAGGCATACAATTTTGATTCTCTTGGCGTTCCACCTGAGAGGGGCCATTTACACCCCTTGTTAAAAGTAAGAACTGAATTTCGCCAAATATTCTTAGAAATGGGATTTTCGGAAATGCCGACAAACAACTATATTGAATCTTCATTTTGGAATTTTGATGCGCTTTTCCAACCTCAACAACATCCTGCTCGAGATGCACATGATACATTTTTTATCAGTCATCCATCAAAAAGTTTCAAATTCCCACATGAGTATTTGGAACGTGTTAAACATGTACATTCAAAGGGTGCCTATGGATCCCAAGGTTACGGGTATGATTGGAAAATAGAAGAAGCTCAAAAAAATCTATTAAGAACTCATACAACCGCAGTCAGTGCACGAATGTTATACAAATTAGCCAATCAACCAGATGGTTTCAAGCCAGTGAAGTATTTCAGCATTGACAAAGTTTTTCGTAATGAAACTTTAGACGCTACTCACTTAGCTGAGTTCCATCAGGTAGAAGGTGTTATTGCCGATGTCGGACTAACGCTAGGTGACCTTATTGGCACTTTATATGAATTTTTCAGAAAATTAGGTATCACGCAATTAGAATTCAAACCAGCTTATAATCCTTATACTGAACCGAGCATGGAGATTTTTTGTTATCATCCTGGTCTACAAAAATGGATCGAGGTAAACACCTTTAAAAATACAAATAATATTCATATTTGTTTTTAATTACTAAAAAATTAAATAATGTTTTAGGTTGGAAATTCTGGAGTGTTTCGACCTGAAATGTTATTACCAATGGGACTACCATCCAATGTCAATGTAATCGCTTGGGGTTTATCTTTAGAAAGACCAACAATGATAAAATATGGAATTAATAATATTCGAGATTTAATTGGACCAAAGGTTGATTTGAAAATGGTTGAAGAAGGTCCAATTTGTCGTTTGGAAAAGTAATCTAAAGTGCATAATATAATTTTTAAGTTATTTTTACCAAATAAAATTGCTTAATTATATAATGTGATTTTCAAAATTGTTTTATTTGCGATTGAAATAAAAAATATAGAATGAGTACCTACATATGTATATAAAAAAATACAATTCTGTTAAATAAAAAAATATAGAATGTTTCATCAGATTTTATTTTCGGAATTTGTAGCATTGTTCTTTTTAGTAACTCGTACTAATTCTCGAAACAATTACTCATTTGTGTTCAAATGAGTAATTGTACTCAAAAATCCATTTAACATTTTAAAAAGGTTTTTAGTTTAAAAGAAAAATTGGAAAATAATCTAAGAATTTAAAAGATAAAGCAGAAATTTTCACTTGACATTTAATTAGCAAAATAACTCATAATTAAATATGATTCAAAAAAATTATCGCAAAAGAAAACATGAGTAACAATGACGGAAATTGTTTCAATGCTTATCTTCTTTGTATTTTAAAGGAAATGCATTATTCGCTAAAATAGAAATAAATTTGATCATGTCTAATATAATTCTTAAAATATTTCAGACTGAGTCTAGTTCCAATTATTAAAGGCGTTTACTATATCTTCCTGCCTTTAATAGCAAGCCAATAATTAAAATTAATATGAAATTGTATTTCAATCATTCACAATTTTCATGTAATGAGAGTTGAAATTTTTATTTAATAAAATTACTAAATTATATCAAATTACTTGCAAATCTTTATTTCAAAAATAGTCTCCATTCCATATTACAATAATTAAGAATTGCACTTAGTGACATAATCGTTGCATTATTTTAGTTAACTTTATAATAAACAACATATGAAAAATTATAAAAAGTGTTAAAGTGATTAATTAATATAATTGCTTAATAAATATAAATATAAAAATGTTATATTCTAAGTAAAAAATTAGAGAAACAATTTTGCTTTTGAAGTATTGAACGTAAAAACTTGTTTCATACTTATTTCTTATTCAACAGACTTTTCTTTTATTGAAACAACATCAAATTGCATTCCATTTTCATATTTTCTTAATTCGTTTATCATATTTGTTTTAGCGAAAGCAGCTCCTGGAGGTAAAACTCCTCCATTTCCAGGCATTTTGTCATTTTCTTTAAGAACAGTTACTGCAGATACCAAAAGTGCGACACAAGTAGCTCCATAACCAGGATTTTTACCAGTTACTTTTGTAATTATTGTTTTAGATGGTGTTGTTTTATATTGATCTGTAGGTTCAGCTAATTTTTCTTCTTTAGGCCAACCTTCACCATAAAATGTCATTGAAAATCTTGTTTTTTCCGTTTTTTCTTCTGATGGACCTTCATGTGAAAACATACCCGCAGAAAATATTTTTGGATATTTTAATAATAAATTTCGTCCAAATGAAAATCGTGTTAAAATTCCGAAAATTGCTGCAAATACTGCCACTCCTAAGGTTACAATTAATGAACGGAAACCTACATAAGCTTTCATTTGAATTGGACGTTTTTTCTCATTTTCATACATTATCCTTTGAGAACGCATTACAACTGATCTATCTGATCCTGGGAATGGCAAGCAGTATGAATTAATTATGGCAGACTTGTGTATAATTGATCTAAAAAAAATTTTTGATTAAAATTAATATTATTATATTCAACTATTAATAAAATTATAATTTATTTCAATTCTGTTTTACCTATTTTTAAGTCTTGGTTGTAATTGCGGTAAACGGCTTTCAAATAATTTAGCTCTTATTCCACGTAACTCGTCAGCATGTGCTAAAATTTTTTATAAAATTAAGGTAACTTCAATCCACGGCTAAGTCAATTTTGTTTATTTTAAATTTTTACCTAAACCATAAACTGCTGATTCCCATGTTCCATAATTTACTGCGCAACCACCTGTAGCACCGCCTGCTTCCCAAGTCTCTAAATATGTTTCAACAGAATTTACAACACCTAAAATAGAATATTTACATATTAGATATGTATGTATATTATATATATTATTATTACAATTAAAAGTAAGCAGATTAATACAAATGATTTAAAATCACTAAAGCACCTTTTGGCCTCATCGATTTTATTATTGCTTATAAACATTTTAGTTTATTAAAGTAATGACACTTACCATCGAAATGATTCTCAAGGAATACTGTTCCTAAATCTGCTGGAATACTATCAAATCCACATGCTGAAATCTAATTTTAATAAAAAATTTTTATAATAATTTAAAAATCCAAATTAAAAAAGCAAATTATTAACTTACAACATAAACACCATTTTCTTTTGCAAGGTCATTATATTTAAGTTGCATTGTTTCCATATATTGAGGCTCACCACTAACATCTACATGATGTGTTCCAGCTTGTATGCAAGCCTTTTAGTATGACAAATAAAAAATTATATTAGCTATTATATTCTTAGTATAAAATAAAATGCGAGTAAATAATTTTAAATGTATTGAATATTTCGAATGGAGCTACTTTAAAATTATTTAAATTTTAAAAAGAAAAAAAGCAATATAACAATAATAATAATAACAAATTCCTGGTTTCATTTACCTTTACTACTGCTTCTCCATAAAATCTGTACGGCCCACAACAATTTACAAGTATCTGCAAATATAAATACGAGTATATTATATGACAAGAATATAGTTTTGAATTTTTACTAATACATTGAATATTACACTTTGTATAATATTCATATAAAAATAAGAATAATATAAAAATTACTTTTATTATACTTTCATAAAAGAAAATCAACGTTCATAAAAGAAAGCTAAATGAGAGTAACTAGAGGTCTATTTAAATAAATTTATGCCATTTTAGCAATAATCAAAAGTAATGAGGCTTTTCTTAGGGCTTCTGAATAAAAAATTTTTAAATTCATAAATAATTTTTTTTTTTTTGCAAAATGTTATAAAATATAAAAATTTTTGGATAAAAACAATTTCTTCGGACTCTATACTTTGAACTCACATTTACTGATTTTATTCAAATCAGAATAATTTAATTTACAATATCTTAATTATTTGTAAAAATTAACATAAAAATTAATATTCAATTTTGAATCAGAATCTTGACTGAAAACCATAAATATTAATAACTAAAATACTTATGTAAGCCTAATTCATTTGTAGTGTTTTATCATGTTTTACATTAAAAGTCAGAAACTGATCATGGTTTTCTAATAGAAAATATAATAGAGATTAAATTTTCTTTTGTGTGTACATTTTAAATTTCTTTACTTAAAAAAAACTTATGTATGTGGGTACTTGAAATCTACAGTAGGTACACAGAGAGAGAATGAATGTACAAAATAGTATGTGAAATAAACAATAAATTATCACGTCTGGTTTCCATTTTTATAGACTAACTATACAAAATACTTTACATAACATGATTATATGTGCATATACGTATATTTTATGTAATCCCTATAATAATTATGCTTGTAGAATCATTCTTTTTATTTTATATGTCTTGCTTTAAAATATAACATAATGTATACATATTAATTTAATTTGAATTTTGTAAAGAATTTTATCCTAATTAAATATTTTTAATTGATTTCCAATTACTACTTATATCATAATATTTAAATTTATTCTAATTGGTTTTTGACCCCTGCATAAAAATTATGAACTCTACAAGAAACAATTCATATGTAAATATACATATATACCTACATAAATATGTATATTATGTAATTCAATTTTATGCATAAGTATCTACAAATCGACATTAGTAATACAGCTATTGGATTTGAATAAAAAAAATCTAGTATTATCTACTATCTACTAAAATATACACATATACAAAATATAATACTCGGAATCATCGAACCTACAACAACAACAACGTCATTAATGATTAAAAAGTGAGTTAATAGCGCGTATAATTAAAACACAGTTTAAAAAGTCTACAGAAATCGAATTAATTTGATCCTACATACATACACATGTAAATTGTAAAGTATTGACCAAAATAATTATAAGTTTAAAAACTTATTATTCAATAAAAAAATAAATAAATTTTTTATATTAATTTTTTGTAATTATTATAAAATATGGAAATTGCATAAAATACAAGATTATATGAGTATAGGAGCTAATATATGTATGTATATAATATGTTGATTATAAATGTCCGGCAAAATAACTGGGAGAAATCTTCTAGAAATTTCGAATGCAATGTTCAGTAACACGTCACAGAATTAAATCTTTAAGTAATGATATTTAATTACATAACCCCACTAATCAATCGTATATAAATTTAATGTATGATGAATAATAATTACGCACTTACTATATAAGAAATCTAAATTAATTTTAATATAATATCTATGACGATAGGTAACGAAGTGATTAAAGTACAAAGTTTAAATTATTTATTTTTTTTTTTGGTTTTACGTTTTTAACCGATAACAAAATTATTGTTCAACACGACTACCATATTATTGGTTAAATTTGATTTCGTAGCAATATTTTAACAAGCCCTCTCTCTCTTCCGTCTTCTCTATAATCTGAAATCGAATTTCATTAATTTATTATTAATGGTTTTTTTCTTTATCATTAAGTTGCTGTAAATAAATATTTTCATTTTATCACATTGGCTAAAAAAAATTGTAGCTTTCAGATTTTATGCATGTAGGTATACAAAGTAATCGTATAAGAAGAGAATTTTCTAGGTCATATAGGTAGTTGCAAATTTTAAGCAATTTCACGATTATTTTATGTTCGTATCAATTCGAAATATTAAAATGAAATTTTTACTTTGAAAACTATAAACCTCCACAAATTGTAGCTGTTAACCAATTGGATTAATTCATTGTCAGAATTTAATTTAATTCGGAACACAATTTTGATTTAAATTTGAAAGGACAAGCTAAAACACTTGAGTAAAATTAAAATATTAAATAAATCATTTTTTAAACTATTAAATATATTTGAAAAATACAATTGGTGAAAAATTTTTAATGGCAAATATGGCAGGTACACATATTTAGTGTTGAAATAAATCAACATATTTAATGTTGAAATCCAAAGATTTCGAAAGTTATTAAAACTGTATAATACCCTTCGAATTCGAAAAATAAATATTACAAGTATTTCAATTAAATAATCCAATATTCTTTAAAAATATTTTAAATTAATTATTGAAAAGGAAATTTTTATCTCAAGTCATTATTACTTTCTATTATATCCTATTATGCTTCAAGACTCACTACCTATATAAATATTTTAAGATAAATTACAAGCACATTGAAAATTTTAAATTAAATACATATACTCGTAGTAATAATATAACAATGGGGTCGGTCTACATCCCACATATAATTGCAAGAAACTTTCAAATATATTATGTATGTGGGGTATATTCATACACATGTACATATATGTAAATATGAAAGAACAATAAAAAATTTAATATTCAACTTATCTATAATAATAAAAAAAAAACAATCAAATTTACCTTGCATTTTTCAGCCATTTCTTTTAAAGATTTTTCATCACTGATATCAGCAATAATTGTTGGAATATTTGTTAAATCTGTTTTAGATTTCTCTCCCATTTCTCTTAAGACACCATTTAATTTTTCCTATATAACAAAAAAAGTTATTAAAATATGTATTTATATAATTTAATTATACATTTATGTACCTACATACATATGTATAAGAACATGCAAAAGTAATTAATATATTTATATTAAAATATGTAATAATGTAAATAAAATAATATAGGTATAGATAGATAGATATGCTAAAAGAATATAATAAGATGTAGATATTTGTTTCTATATTGTACTTATGTAGATTATTATGTACATATTTACATACAAATCAATAATATTTTTAAAAAGATGATTCATGATGCAAAGTCAAGGTTATCAGCCTAAAAGGGCATGTGCGAATTTTGCTTTTTTTTTTAAATATTTTCTTCACACATTTTCAAAATCGATTTCTATGTATAACATATAGTAATTATTATATTTACATATTTATCAGAATTATAATTTTATAAGTTACAATTGAAATAATAAATTCGATATTAAGGTCGGTAGTCAGGCGTACTTATAATATTGTTAAATACGTACGTACCTTATTTCTTCCAGCTATTTCCCATTTAAAATCTTTTAAAACTTGAACTGCTTCATATACAGTATGTTTTCCAGTGAAACCAGTTGCACCAAAAATAATTACATCTAATCTTTCTGCCATTATTTCTGTAATAAAACAAACAATATGTATGTAAATTTTATTTTTAAATTAATATTTATAATTTATGAAATTTTTATTACATATAAGATACGTGTATGTTTTCTTGAATTGAATTTTCACTGAATCCTAGTATCTATAGTATACATACAGAGTAAACAGAGTAACTGAATAAAAATCATGTAAAATGAAGTTTATTTATAAAAAAACAAAAATTTATTTAAAGAAACAAAAAGAAAAATTTATATTAACATACAAAAATGTTAAATTGAATGCATGTACATACATGTTATATACATATATATGTTTGTATGTTTGTATATTTCCTGAATAGAAATTAATTTAAATCCATATTTCATATATGAAATAATGAAGATGGTGTAGGGTACTTCCGCTGCTATTTATAATGTTAAGCGTTTTTGACTATTTAAAAATGTAGTAATGTAGTAAAGACCGACAAAAAAAAGTATATGTAGCGAAAGTAAATTTAAATATTGAAAAATTTCATAATTTTTGTTTTTTATAAATTTTCACTCTAATTTTCTGATAACTTGCTAATGAGTATAGTTTTATTCACAAAAGATCAAAATAACATGATAAAATTGGTGTGCTCATATGACTAAAATAGTCAACCTTTTCTGTTTTTTTTTTCACTAAAACTTATCAGTTTTTTAAAATACTTATGTACATTAAATTAAATTTTATAAATAAATTTATAAATTTTATTTTATTTTATAATTTATATTTTACTTACATTTTTATTTTACTCCTTTTTCCTTTCAATTTAATTTCAAAAAAGCCGGCAATTTTATAATTATGTACGTGTCAAATTGCAAAATGCTATTAAATAAATGCTGGTAGAATTCTTTCAGAAAACTTCAACCCAAAAAAAATAAAAATTCAATTAAATTCAATTTTCAAGTTCAAAAAACAACAAGAAAAAATTATTATGAACTTTTTTTTCTTCTTTTCAATTATATGTTTGTGTGTGTATGTAGTTACCGATGTATGTAAACATGTGTGTATATATGCACTCGCGTATAAAATAAAATTTTATATTACTTCTGTTTATTATTTTTTTAAATAAATAAGTATGTACGTATGTGTATATACTATTTTTAATTTAACTGTATTGTAATGTACAAAAAAAAAAAAATAAAATATTTAAAGAAATTTTGTTAATTTGACTTGAAACTTTACAAAAAAGAATATTGTAGCCTTTGTTGGAGTTCGCACCACAAGAATAATATCAAAGACCTCCACTAAGCATAACTTCTCAATATGGAATGAATGTAATAATATAAATTTCATTTTATTAAACTATTCACAAAAATAAAGTATGTTACTGTAGAAGTCCAAAATGTCATCAAATATGTTTACTTAAAAATTGCCATTTTTTTTGCGTACCGCAATTTTTATTCCGACCAAATTGGAAAACTTAAAACCAACTCGTTCTTACCGTTATAGCTTCTTAGGGCTTTGGCTAACATGCAATTTTTAATTTTGTAACTGTTTGATATTCAAGCGTGTATGATATGCAACTGTATGATCGCATGAAATTAGACAATCAAACAGCTTATAATTTTTTACAAACTAATTCCAATTTAGAATGTAATTTCAAAAAAGCTTAGTTATTGGTGTGTTTGCGTCCGTTGTGGAGTGTAAGAGCTTCGGCAAACATGCAATTTTTTACTTTATAGTTGTTTGATCTTTTATTTGTTTTCCATATTAATTTATATCAAAAGGAATACATATAATTATTGCATTTAATGAACCAAAAAAACATGGTTTGTAATTTTTTCCAAATTGAATAATACTTCTGTATTGAGGCAATAATTTAGTTGGCATATTTGTGCGCTTAGAGAATTTTAATTTACAATCGATCGGACATCGGAAAACTAAAAATGGCATTTGTATCGAACTTTTGAATAAATAGAAATTCATGTGAACCTACCTAATTTTTATATTTATATTTTATATTTTTTTAATTTTATATTCGATATTTTATAGTAACAGGAGTATTTACACACACCACATTTTAAGAATGTATTTTCGAACCGAACTTTCAAAATGCTAAAATGAATTCAATTAAATTACGAATATGGTAATATCGGAAATTTATATACTCGAATACCGAAGTATGAAATAAACTGTATAAATATTCAGTGTGTGCTTAGTCATATTTTATTATGCTTATTTAGAAGCTATATAGACATGAAGTACATAAAGTATAATCTTTATCAAATAAAGTTGAACTAAAGTTTTTTTTAATACACCAACACTAGGAAATTTAAAAAATGTATAGATACAAAAATCTATACATAAATAGAAGAAAGTCACTTAAAGTTACTTTCGTACGTACAATAATCTATTTTGCCGGTAAATTGTTATGTATTGACGTTTTGATGCACACCACACAATACATATGTATGTATTTGTACAAATTCAATAATATAAACGTACTTATTCCTATATAAACCAAATATGAACTTCTATTTCTATAAATTTTATGTATGCTATATGTGTTTGATTTTGATTGCTAGTTTAGACGAAAAAAATATTTTAGTTTTTTGTTATCAGCTCTATTTTTAGCTACCCATATGATTTTCGACTTTTAAGCATGAGTTGCCAGATGTATGTACTTACTGTATTAATTTTTAATAGTATCTGTATTAAGTGGAAATTTGTACACGAGTTTATCGATTTTTTTCCACAATTGGGAAATCAATTTTGGCATTGATATAGAGAGCTTTATGTGACATCGAACAATCGATTTTTGAAGAACATTTGTTTGTTCGAACTGTCAAACATTTACGTTTAGTGAAACTGAAGCAAAAAAAAGAATGTTTCTATAATTGTTCATGGGCATATATACAAACATACTTACATACGCATAAAAATTTATGCAAATATTCGGAAAGAATAATAATTATTGTGCATCACAATAATTGCTTTCCCTTTTTTTAGTATATTTTATTTTTAGTTTCTGTTTAGTGTTTAAAAAAATTTAAGTTGAATAAAAACCAAACCTCTTAGGGTTTAAGCTAAATCTAAACGCTCTAAACTCGAAATTGTAATAATACTCTATTAATGCAGAATTCGGCTTAGAAATGTCGATTGCTGAATTGTGTAACGATACGGTATTATTACAACTCGGATGTCAGAGTTTTTTTTACTGTAAACAAAATTAAAACGGGTAAAAAAATTAAACAAAAGGTTATTTTATATCTTTAGTTTGTGCTAAATAGCTATGTTTCTTTGTTCCTTAGATGTAAAGTTCGCCACAAAATCAGTGACCACGATTCATTTTTCCCTCATGTAGTGTAATCAACAATCACAAGTATAAATCTTTCTTGTCTATATACACCGTTATATACAACTACTTTAGTATGTGTTTTTATTTATCTACATTGCTTAATTTTTCGAGGAATGGTCAAGATTTCAATATTTAACTCATTGGCCAACTCTTCGTACTTTTTCAGTTAAAAATTTTTTTTCGCCGCTAGATTTAGAAAATCGTGTAACTAAACTACGCCTGCTGTGTAAAACACTTCGAAAACCGAAAATTCATAAAAAAATATATCCAGCGTTTTCAGGAAAAACTGTTATTTTTGCTGTCAGGTTCTACTCTAAATATTTGTTTTTTCTGTTGGGTACATCCACACATATATACTTTTCTGTTATATGCATATATGTACTTACATATGTACGTAGATCGATTGTTTTACCAATTGCCTATCGTTTGTTTTGTATTAGGCTAATGGCATATTTAATGAGAAAACTGTAAAATAAAATAAAACCAAGGTCACTTTTCTTTTTAAATTTTTCAATGTGGAAATAAACTGAAGATCTATTGTGGCTTTGTTAGTTCTCATGAGGGCTATCTGACAATTATTCCATATTAAGAAATTGAATACATCCTTATTTTCTGTCTGTAATTAATAGTTTTTATATACCTATAGTTTCTAATACAATTTTTTAATTTTTAAAATTATTTTATATAATTAATTAATGACGTTTAATTACAATTAAAAAAAAATGATGGTCTTAATACATTTTTTTTTTGTTTAATTTCAGAATTTAACACTTTTAAGCTTGGACTAATAATTTACTACTGTATGTAGAATATAATAGGAATAAAATTTCTCAATCACTTTTTATTCTTCATATTTTGGTGCGGGACTTTCAGTTTTTGAATAGTCTCTGATTGGAGAATAGAACTTAAAAAGAAAAATATTTATTCAGTTTTAATTTTTGTACATTAAATTAAAAATATATTACCTTATATTGCTTATCACGGTAATGTTGCCATGGTTCTGGGTTGTTCTTGCGACTCCATGTTACATCTGGATTACGTGTAGCCAATCTCAAAGTATAATACACTGCTCCAATCGCTCCTGCCCCAACACATACGTACAGCGGGATGAGCTTGATGAGAATAAAACAAAAATATATGTAGATTTTTGTAAACTCAATATCGTTGCAATAAGAATTAAAAATAAAAAATTTTATGAAATTTCTTAATTCTACCACATTATGTAAGTTTATTTTGCAGCATTTTAAAAATTTAAATTTTTACAAAATAAATGTGCTTAATTGTAATATCTTACCGCTGGATTTTTTTTCAAGCTGTTTAAGCCTATTCCCTGCATGATATAACGATTTCCCAAAATTTATTTGGAGTTGAAATTATAAAATCGAATACCTTTCAGCCTAGGGTCACTTTTTGTGAAAAAATAATTCAATATGTCGTGTCGGCTGTCAACTACAAAATTTGTCGCTGTGTAGTTCTGGATTATAATGAACGACGACGACAAGTCGTGGTGAACATGTGACGTTAATGTAATTGTCATTGACAAAATACTAAAAAATATTAAATTAAATTGAATCTCCAATTTTAATCTTTCAAATCATTTTCATAATGTTTACGAGTATCTTAAAATTTTGTTCAATCTGTCATTTTGTTTACCATTTGATATTTTTTTTTAAAAACTTTATAATAATTAATTGTTATGTAATAGAGTTTTGAATTGTAATATGTAAAAATTACAGGAAAAGAAGTAATATTTCTGTACGAACGTGTTTTTGTTCGAAAGCACAAATCAAAATTTTGCTTTCGAACTCTTTTACTAAAACTTTTATTAAACATTTTTACATGAATTTCTTAGCTTATTTATTGTAATAAAATCATTACACAGAATGTATATACATATAAATTTCAAGCTGTTTTACTAATCACTCGAAAATTATGTTTCCAAGACGTATCTGCATAACGGTTTGACATCCATTTTGATGTAATAGTTGACAACACAAAATAAGATTGCATGCAAAAGGAATGAAACTTAATGTTAAATAATGATGCATATTGAAGAGTTGCCGTATAACCACAATTCGTAACATCCTATAACCATAAATTCAATAACTGGAAAAGAAATAGTGTATTAAGTGTTTCTTATTCTACCATAATTTGCTTCAGAATTTTTTCTATTCCTATTCTGAGCCTAAAATCAAACAATTCCAACAATTTGTTTCAGAATATAGTCTGGAGGATTCTAATATTTCAAAGAACGTAAGTTCTTCTGTTCTACTGATTTCAAGTATAATAAATATAAATATATACGTACATATGAGATACTGCAGTATGTAGAAAATAACCTTATTTTTCCCATTTTTAATTTTTTAATTCTTCAGTTTTTTTAATATTTTGCTTCAAACAAAAAATTAATTACAATAAATTATTTGATTGTACGGGATATAAATGACAAATTGAGTATTCTTATTTGATATCGGCTGTCCTCTCTCCTCTTTGGAATATAATAATATGCCATCTATTTCACAGTATGTATAATTAAAATGAATGAATATTTTTAATGCTTGTGTAAAATGTCCTAGCTTATATAGCTTAGTAAATAAACCATAAGAAATTTTATGAAACATGTGTTTTTATTTGATTGTATATGAAAATTGTATATTGTCTGTATAAAAACAAATCTTATAAATCTTATAAATACATATAAATTTATTATATTAAATATTTTGCACACTATCACAACAATCCATTACAAGATTTTATAGATACATGTGCAAGTAATTATGTATATCGTGATATACATTTTTGATCGTAATTATAAACTTATTATAATACTATCAGAATCAAACATATTTTACTTAAAAGGAAATAATCTCAAAAATTGTTTTCACCTCACTCAATTCTATACTATTGCTTAATATAGTAAATAAATACACACCACCCAGGGCCAGTCTTATAAAAATGTATATTCATATGTATGTATGTTTACAGTATTGTAATTGTAGTGTATATGAATACAATACAACACAATTCATATTCTATCAAGCTTGTTTTCACTCAAAAAAAAAAAAGGTAGCAAATTATTTTGCTCCATAATTTTTATTCTCCAGTATCTTATATCGTAATTTTACTCATATTTTGTTTTTGTATTCTATGGTTACTTAATTTTTTGTTATTTTTATAGTTTTCTTTTTAACTACCTTTTCAATATATTAAAGGGAAATTCATTATTCAGTTTGGTGAGATATTTTAAAGAGTTTAGGTCGTGTTCGCGCTCAGTCGTTTTTATTTTTTAATATTATTAAAACTTCAATTTATTTTAATTTATAGAGAATTTTTGCGATTATACATAATTATATACATCACAAATTTTACCAATACCATTATAGAATTTTGTGTAAATATACGAAATTTTTTTAATGTAATAAATGAAAAAGAAAAAAAATCCTTTTTGATAAAAAAAAAAGTTATAAGTATTAAAAAATTCTGCAAAGTGAATAGAATTTAAGTTAAAAAAAAGAAAGTTGAATCGAAAAAGGGATGAAAAGATGAAAATTTTCAATTTTATTTAAAAGAGAAAATTAAATTGAAAAGTTAATTAAAATTTCAAAATAAATAAAATATAGTTATGCAAATAATTTTATTATAAATTCTTTAAAAAAATATAAAAAATTTTCATTCAAAAAGCAAAAAAAAAGTAAAATAAAATAAAATTTGAAAGAACAAAAAGGATATACACTTGAAATATGGCTGTTCCAATTTTTCTTGAGGGTGAGTTTTTAAATTGGTTTCATTTTTTCCAAATTAAATTAATAAAATTTGAATGAAAAATTTTATAGAATTGAAATTTTCCAAAAATATAAAAAAATATTAATAATTTTATAATGAATTTGAGAGTTATTTTAAGATTATCATTAAAAAAAATAAATTTATTTTAAAAATATTTGATCTCCCAAGTTAATAAAGAGAGAAAAATTATTTTTTTTTTTTATGATGAAAAACACACCCTTCGCAGAATAGTATATAGATGACGAAAACAAATACACTTTTATCCCTATATTTTTCTTGTTTTTTTTTATTTTGTTTTGTTGATTTTTCATTTCATATATTTTTATCCTTGTACTTCTGTTCTGTTACACAAAAAAAGGATCACAAAAATTGCTTTTTCTTTTTTTTTGTGTAATATTTTTAGTATTTATTTTCTGCTATAAATGTTATTTTACATACAAAGCAAAATCTGCTGTGATGAATGTTGGTTGTGTTTCTGTATAATATATTGTGTACGTATACTTAGTATGAGTGGTAAATTTGAAAATAATGTGCATACTTGATGTCTTTTACATTATTATAAATTTTTTCTTATTATGTTGAAAATTAAACTATCCAAAAAATTTACTCTATAGTATATGTATGTGTATGTATAACATGTTAATTTTTAGGTTTTTCCTTTTCTCCCTTCTGTTATCAGTGTTTTGTACTACATATATAGGTACTTACTTTTTTTATGGCAACTTTTAATATAGTTTATAAAAACACGAATAAAATGTTTTTTTTATATACATATAAGTACTTATATTCTCAATCTTTTATTCAATTTCATCTTATTATGTGTATCTTATTATTATTATATCATAAGATCTACAAAAATTAAGAATAAAAATTTAACAATCTGAATGGCCTTGTAAGAAAGTACATAATTATACACATATGATATATTTATGATTCATACATATGACATACTTATGTGATTAATTGTTATGGTTTATGCAGCTGAATGCTTCATTCCATGTAATTTATATCCTAGAAAAAAATGCATTTTTTTCGATTCATAAGTATACTAACAAATTTTATTTGCAAAAACTATTATATAATTTGTTATTGATATTAATTTAACTATTGAATGCGATAGCAATTTTAAATAAAAATTGTTCTAATCTAAATTAAATCGTGTCATTAAGTCCATGTCATTATCAATTGTAAAAATGTTCATATAAGATTTTTGACCTTAAGCAAAACAAAGTATCCTGTACGTATAGTTTAAAATTTGTATGAATATTTTAACATACATATGTTTATGAATACACGCACACACTGTTATACGTACACAAAAAGATATTAGAAGCTGTGATATAAATTGTATACATATGGGTATGAATTTTGTATGAACAATTATTATATTTTTAAATATTTTAATTAAATTTTTCGAAATTAATCTTAGCTCTTAAGCAGAATACTACATTATCATACATTATATATATGTATATTAAATATATTATAATATGATGCCATTATAAATATGATAGATTTTATGGTAAAAGAATTTTAAATTTTGATAAATTTTTGAATATTCGGTGTATTCTTGCAAATCTTCATATCTCATTCTAAACAAATTAATCAGTGAAGAGTATATTATTATTTAAAAGCAAGAATTTTAATATTTTATTTTTATATATACGTATAGTATGCATATGTATATTTAAAAATAAATTAGTATCGTACATAATGTGTACATGTAAATATATACAATTAGTTTGGGACATAATGCAACTTCGTTTGTCAATTCTTATATAAAACATCGACAAGAAAAGTATCTTAATATATTGATTACAAATATATAGCACAATATTATGTATAGTAAATTATGTAAATAAATAAATTCAACTTAAGGATGAAAATTAAAATTATAGGATCCAATTGGAAATCAAATCCAAATATAATTTTGACTTGATTTCAAAAATCAAATTGAAATTCAATTTTCTATACTCTACTCTTGCAACTATATAGAGCAATATTGTATGTAACAAATGATAGTTCTAATTTTGAAATTTTGTATAAATAGAGTGCATGTATATCTATAGATAAGATACTATATATTACAAATTTTTAGATGAATTGCTAATAAGTATTAAATTATGTACATAATATAAATATATATGTATATATATATATAATATTGAATATATCAGCATATGATAAATATGGCATATATATCTTGTATTTAAACCTAAAATCACCCTGTCCTCTTTAGGTATATACTTTAATTGTCAAAAAAATTTATAATTAATTGTTTATTATAAAATTTATTAAAACCAAATATTTATGTATACTAAACATGCACTCATGTATACTCATATGTACATATAATACTTAAGTATATTCATCTAAACAATTTAATGAGACAAAAAAGTCCTTTAAGTCATTAAATATTAGAATTAAATTCATTAATCATTTATTCTGTCTGGCCGAAAATAATAAAATGTTGAAATATACCTATACGCATAGAATTATACACTCTTGTATTATACAAGAGTCTATAAAAACATTTTGTATAAATCAAATTTAATTATCGTTCAAAATAAAAAGTTTATGTGTATATATGTATGTATATAAAATTAAAAAGGACTTTTCTAATATTTAAAGAAATAAAAAAAAAATTAAATTATCTTGTTTGACTTCTTCTAAAAATACTTTGGCTTATTTTTAATGTAGAAAAACAAAAATATTTAATCTAAAAACTTTTATTCTTCAATTTTATATTCCATTCATTCAACATAGAATATAAAGTACAATATTATCCTTAAATATCCTTGACAAATTAACAATAACAATTACAATTTTTGTAAATTACAAAAACCAAAAAAAAAAAAAATGAACCAAAACGAAAAATATTCTAGGTAATAAAATAAAAATTTTAAGTTTTAATAACTTGTTAATGACTCATTTTTTCTGGTTTTATCTATATATACTTATGTATATATACACTTATATTCTTATTTAAGTACATTTAAACTTGCTTAATAGTATGAATCAGGTGTTAAGTATATATATTTTTATTTAGATATTTGTGTATGTAATAAGTATGTGCTTTTAAAATTAGTAATAAAAAAAAAATATTTGAAAGCATTACAAAAGCATTATTAAGCGCTTAAAATACAATAAAAAGCAAAAAAATAAAGTTTTGTGATAATATGGAAAACATCTAAAATTAATCCGTAATTTGAAACGAAAAATGAAATTTATTTTATTACTTTGTACATGTATGAAATTTAAGTGCCTCCTTTGTGTGTAATGTGCCTCCTTTGTGCGCTTAAAAAAATTAATCTTTATAATGTAATTCTATTTCGTTTCCATAGCAGTTTTCAAATAATAGATTCGTTCTTTGCCTAATACCTTTTATTAAAAATCAATAAACTGTTTCTTTTATTAAAGTTTCGAACCTTTTTATTTAAGATCAATTATAAAATTCAATATTAAAATCTATAATGTCACAAATTAATAGACTTAACTTAGAAAATAATTTTTCTTCAAGAAAATTTTCATATTCACTTACATATCCCATAAACTTCTGTATAAAGATGTCTGTGCATATCCTCAGTTCTGAGTAGAACTTATAGCCCCTTAGATTTTTTTACTTAAATTTTAATTTTTGACAACTACTTAAAGTATGCATACTGAAAACACAATGAACTTTTATATTCTTAATTTCCCCATAGACATTTTTACATTTCCTACTTTGGGAATTTGTTCTTGTAGTTACAAGAACAAGTTGAAAGAACAAATGGAAAATTAAAAAAATTTTAAATTTTCCTCCTAAATGTATGCAATAAATTTAGTTGGAAGAATTTTTGGAATAATGTTAACACAAACATTTTATCTTGTATTTTTTTAAGTAAGTTTTCAACTTAAATTATGGATAAGTTAAAAATTTGGCTTGATGGTTTGTACTTTTATTTACTGTACAAATTTTATTAATTACTGCCAAGTTTTGTTTAATATACATAAGTCAAATTGGTTAATAGTTAACAACTTGAATTAGCTATTTGAATAATACAAATTTTTAAAAATATTCCGAGTTGTGTGCGATTTACGAAAAAAAAAAGAAAAGTTTTCAAATTAACTTTGTTACAGTATTTTGTAGTGTAATTGGGTTATTCGTTACACAAACACGTCAAGTTGATTTTCTTCAGTTTTATCAAAATAAATAAATTATGCTTTGAAAAATTTCAATTAGCGTCTGTCAGCAAAATTTTTACTAAATAATTAAAAATATTTCAAAGTTGTAAAATGTAAACAAACACACTTATGGAATCGCATTTCACATTTGAATTTGCTTACACTGCTTTTTTTATTAGGCCTTAAATACTTTCTTTAATTAAATGCCCCGATGAATAAACTCTTACAGGTTTGATATTTTATGCCTACTTATATAAAAATAAGTATTTTTAAGAATTATTTTATTTATTTTACTCACATGTATACATAGCCAGTTGGGTAGACCTGCAATATTATTTAATTTAAAATTACTAGACATGTAGACATTATAATAAAAAAATTATTGTAATTACAAATGATGTGTTTTAATTTCTATTATAAAAGCAATATTTTTTTTTAAATAAAATATTTTGTTACATAATTATAATTAATATAGCGTTTCCTGTATGACTTTTTTATTTCCGATCTGAATAAATTAAATATTTATGTATGTACAATTAAAATTATTAGTGATTATTGTAAACGCTTTTGTTTTGCTTTCATAAAATTGTCGTTGACAGATTACATCAAAAAAAACGAAGGCTATTTTATGGTAAATCATAAAAAAATTTTATAAATTAATCATCATAATTATAATTTATACAATTATCATATTTTTATGCATTACCACCAATGATGTTATTTAATATTAAGATCATGATTCTTAACACATGTATTTAATATGCTTAATTCGAGGCCAAAGAAAATTGCGATTTAAATTATCAAATAATTTTCTAAAC